CAAGTGGTAGGTTGTTGGTAGCACAACGGTGTTCCTCGACATTGAAATCTTTCCTACCTTTTTTATTCCCACAGGTTCAAAAAGACAAGGGTTTACCTACCTACCATATTCACTCACTGTGACCCATTTTCTTTATCCATGCCCAACATGGCAACAATTATTGATGGTTTGGAAGGACTTGTTTTGTGACCACACTGTGTGCCAGCCTGTTTCCAACCAGAGTGAGAGTATGCAGTAATATTACTCAACTATACATGGATAAGAATAACTTCACTCTTATCTTGGGTTATTACACCGGAGTGAGTCAATCCAGAATCCTTGTCAATTTTTTCTTTATTCTTACATATGAAGTCATACATCTACGTGTGAGTAACTACATCTTTCAAGTTTAGTCCTGAAAGTTCAAGCCACATAAACTCAGATGAAGCATACTGCATCATAAAATAAGAATTTTATTATAAAATGAAATGTTGTGAATGATGGAGTTGTTTCAGCAACATGACTCTCATTGCAGCATCACGGGCAAAAATAAATAAAACGTTTGATAAACAATTTAGTCATGTATGTAGACGAATCAAACGACTTTCCATTTGAAAAATGGAAAGAAATCACCGTCATCGTATTATTATATGAATCTTCACGACAGCAATAACAGGAAAAAACAAACTGAGCAAAAAGATCACGTCATGGATAAGAAATTAATTTAAGCAAGCGATCTACTCTGTGGATTGAATTCGAACCAAGAATGTGGGTGAGAATGAGATCGACATTAACTATTAATTATTAGTTATTATAGTTATAAAATATATCAATAATAATATATGATTAAATTTTGAACCTTGATGTCCTTCTAATGCTGAAAGACAAGATTAGCTATCTACTCGGTGGATTGAAGAGCAAGATTTGATTTGAAAATAGTGTGTGGGTGTAAAGGAGAAACAGTGTGGACACGTGGACGGAATGTAGAAAGCAGAGGATGATTGTCTACTTGACTCCCACGTCAACTTTTTATAATAAAAAAATATTTTTAAAAGCGAAAAAACAGTGAGAGCTACTGTACTCACCTGGGCATCGAACATATTCGTGTAAAGTTTTCCGTTGCCGGAGTCTACCCGCCCCGAGTTCGGTTGGAAGAGGCAAAACGCCAGCGTTTCGGGTCTCGGGTCGCTCTGGTAAGCGAAGAACGGGTACGGGTTGATAGTGAACGGAGATTTGTTATCCTTCAGAACCGTCAGCAACTGCTTCAGCGTGTTCTGGAGCGCTGGGTTGAACAGCCCGGACGACGGCGGATCCGATTGAGTCAACACGGCCATGGAGTGCACAGTGGAGACCTTGATCTTCACAGAGGCCGCGTTGAGGGCATTCTGGAGATTTTGCATCGCCGGCACGAGCTGGGAGGCAAGACTCTGGTCGGCCAAGGTTAGAATCTCGTTGCCGACGGTGATGAGAGTGATGTTGCTGGCCGGGTAGTAGGGCAACACGTTCGCGTTAACCCACTGAGTGGCCGCGTTGGGATCGGAGGCCAGACTCGGAATGTCGCCGTTGGCGGCACCGATGACGATTCCGATGCCGGAATTGGCGAGGGCCTTGATGATTGCGGGATCGGCACCGTAGAGGCGGACTTTTCCAATGGAGGTGGATTTGAGGAGCGAGGCCGTGGAGTCCGGCGGCGGAAGGTTGTCGGCGACCTGGCCATAGTTTACTCCTACGAAAGATTGAGAGTCTGCAAGAAGAAGTTAAAGAAATTAAAGATTTTAATTTTGTTGAAAGCGGTTGAAAAGACAACAGTAAAAACAGTAACGGTTGGAAAAAGAGGTAACTAACTAGCGAGGGAGAAGGTGATGACAAATAGAGAAAGGAAGAGGAAAATTGAAGGAGAAGGTGCCATGTTAGCCATTGCTGGGAAGTGTATGAAGGAAGAGATGTTGTGTTGTTATATAAAAGGAGAAAAGGCAAAACCCACAAATAAATATATTAAAATAAAAGAGTTTACCAAGACTTAAAAGTATAGTAGGAGTCTATAATAATTATTTTTGTAATATTGTAACGGTAGAAATATTCCAAAGACAAAGTTATAGAAGGTGTCCTTGTCAAATGGCCACTTTCTGAAATTTACGTAGCGCCATTGCTATGCTCATAATAGTAGCTCATTCAAAAGTTTCTTTAAATTTCTCACTTAATCCAATATTTTGTTTTTTTGATGAAAAATGTTTTTTTTAAAAAAAATTTACAATTAATTCGTTGATTAATCAATAAAAGAGTACCACATAACTTTGAAAAAAAAATGTTAAAAGAAAATTGATGTTACTTTTTGGATATCGTTGAGCGAAGAAAGTGATTACCCTTTACTCAAACTTTTCCACTGTTTTTGTGCTTTCTAGGAATTTACCGTATTCACCTTATGGTCTACCCAATTTGTACAATCACACTTTTAAACAACACCAAACATTACAATTAATACTACTTTTGAACCCGTACAATAAATAATACATGTATTGGTTTGAATTATATCCTTCTATATATGCATCCAACAGACTCAACGTAAAAATTATTAAAAAAAATATTCTGACAAAAAATTTCTTTAATTTATTACTTACATTTTATTATATTATTTTATTTTAAATTTATTAAAAATGACACGTGTAAAAATATTGTATCGTTATATTTTCTCAAAATATTTGACATGATATTAAATATAATTACTTCAGAGTTGAAGACGGAGCTTATATTTGAGAGTTTATTAAAAAAAAAGTGATTCTTTTCTCCAAGTAATACTATGGGGGTCCACAATGAATGTATAGGTTAGAAAATATGTATAAAATTATAAATCTTTCAAGATGACTGTTCAATTTTTGTTAGTGTGATTACTATGATTTACATGAAAATGAACTTTTTGTTTACTTATAACTAATGGTTATAATTATGCTTATCTTAAAAAATTTAAAATATTTTCGAAAGGTATATTTAATCGTTTTAAATATATTAGTTGTTTTGTTTTGTGATATAATTCAGGTTTTAATTTCATTTACATCGTGACGATTTAATTTCAGTACTATTTATTACAAAACTCGTGTTTTAAATATATTAATTCTTTTATTATGTGATATAATTTAGGCTTTAATTTCGTGAAAGTTTAATTTCTGCACTATTTATTATAAACTCTCGTTTGTTTATCATTATTAGAAAATCCAGTTGATACTGAAGGTGTTAGAGAAGTTTGACTCAGTTGAACTATAGCATGCAAGCTGCACTAGAGAAAAAATGTTCACTAGATATTCATCCGCATAAGTACGGTCATACCCTCACATTATTCATAATATTTCATCAGTTTTGATGATCAACAAATAGAATAAGAACTTACTTTTTTTAATTTGTTTTACAAATAAAAATTACGAGAAATTTAATATTTTAAATATTTTTTTATAAATTCTATATAAATTATTAAATAATTTAATTTAATTTTTCCCAAACTATTATTACAATTTGTGTTTTGTTCCTAAATTAAATTATAAAGTAATTAGTATTTGTGTTTTGCGAAATTCAACATAAAACATGTTCTTTCAACATTAGAATAAATGTTAAACATATTATTTATTAAAATCTTAAAAAAATTATATATTTAAATTAGAAAAAGATCAATAATATCTACAAAAACAGGCTTATAAACTTATTAATAATTAAAGACATATTAATTAGTAGATTAAATATGATTTAATGTATTTAAATAAATACATATTTACAATATTAACTTAAAAAACTAATTTAAATTATATTAGTTAAATTTAAGATTTTATTTCAATTATTAAAAAATACATTTGAATTATTACGCGAAATATTAATTATTTAATTACTATATTTTTAGTTTTTAATTTTAATTTTTTTTTTGTAATTTTAAGTTTTTAAAATAAAAAATGAAAAAAAGAGTTCATAATTTACTTTCAAATAATCAAATTCTAACTTATTTTTTGTAATAATATGTTAAAGTAAAATTCTTAATTTATTTTCTGATCATGAACAGTGATTATTATTGAAATAAATATTATGAATATGTGAAAATATTTTCAGAAACTGTGATACTTTATAATAATTTTTTCAAATTCTATCCTCAAAAAAATTTATTATATAAATTTTTGACATAATTATTCTATTGAAGAAAAATGTCTCCAAGAGTTGATAAAAGGAATGCTCTATGTATAAATATTTGACACATTATTCTATCAAGAAAAAATGTGTATATATACTAAACTGTAAAAAAAAAAGTATACGTGTATAGGGATGTGTTGATATATATTAAATGTTTGAGCATAAAAGTGTAGTTATATTGCTACTGCAAAAAGACTACGTTAATACTTCAGACACATGAAGCGTCTTAATAGAAAAAATTAAATTAAATTAAATTAAATGCCTATCAGCGATATAATTTTTTTAAAATATAAACAATTTTCTTTAATAAAAAACAAAAGATCAATTCCTTTAAAAGATCAGGAATATGTATCCTTTCTTCTTCAAATTTTTAACTCTACAGACTTACTTTTTTTTTTTTTGTCTTCTTCATAATTAGAGAAGGGAGTTGCATTCGACCTGAAACATTATTTAGGTTTAATTAAACAAAATCTTCGTTTGGATAAATGAAAATTTCGTAAACAAATATACGAATAAATATCAGCAATATTATTGCCGAAATATTATGCAGACGGATAATATTATTTACAAGGCTTGTTTCTTCACAAGATAATGCCATACAGCAGAATATGCTAAGACCTCTCCTACAGATATGAAACTACACTATATGCACAATGGCTTCTGACTTGATCACAACAAATTGAAAATCGCTGGAAAAAATATATTTATCTAACGATTTGTCATATCATCTCCAGTTTGATTTATCTACTGGCTCTACATGCCTTGTTGGATATGGAATCTTGCTGGAACCAGCTGCTTTAGAATAAACAGGATCTTTCTCTCTGTTTGTTCGATGTTCCTATTCAGAAANGTTTCTTCACAAGATAATGCCATACAGCAGAATATGCTAAGACCTCTCCTACAGATATGAAACTACACTATATGCACAATGGCTTCTGACTTGATCACAACATATTGAAAATCGCTGGAAAAAATATTTTTATCTAACGATTTGTCATATCATCTCCAGTTTGATTTATCTACTGGTTCTACATGCCTTGTTGGATATGGAATCTTGCTGGAACCAGCTGCTTTAGAATAAACAGGATCTTTCTCTCTGTTTGTTCGATGTTCCTATTCAGAAAGCAAAGCAAGTCATTTCAGTTGGTGAAGCTATACTCAAATTTACTGTGAAATTAAATATTCCACATTAGGATGTGACATATAGTATCAAAAACTGTGTGTAACGCTGCATCACATGTTTTTGTCTTATAAATCACAGAGGATGAAAGCATGGGAGGAGGCTTACAGAACGAAAGGGAAAATCGTCAGCCTCAAGCATGTGAACAATTTGGCCCATCTTTGGTCGCTTACTGACATCCAAATCTATACAGCGCAGACAAACAAGTAAAGCTCGTTTCAAAGATCTTTGAGAGGGTTGAATATCTATTAAAGGATCAACTAGTTCTTCACCAAGACGATTTGCAACCATTCCTTTAAACCAATCAACCAAGTTCATCTGAGCGCACCAAACAAAACGCACACATAAGACTCATTGGAGTTTCAGGGGAGACAGTAAGAAAATATAGAGAAATCATAGAATCACCTCTCCAGGTGGTCTAGAATAATCGATCGGACTCCTCCCTGTAATTAGCTCCATAAGTAGAATCCCAAAACTATACACATCGCTGCCTTCATTAAGCATACCCGTGCTTGCATACTCAGGTGACACATATCTGCACAAAATTTGTGGCGTTGAATGAAACAGATAAATAGTATCCACCTCCATGTAAGAGAATGTTTACTTGAGAATGAAACTAACCCAAATGTCCCCATTACACGCGTTGTCACGTAGCTTTTCTCAGGCCCTAAGAGCTTGGCCAGTCCAAAGTCTGATACTTTAGCATTCCACTTTTTGTCCAAAAGAATGTTACTGGATTTTACATCTCGATGGACAACTTTGGGTTCTAATCCTTCGTGCAAGTAGGCTAGCCTGTTTCGTAATGTAGGAAGGTTAATTAATACTCCACGAAAAAATATTTAAAGTAATAGAAATGTAATATTAAGGGATCATGATAAGAGTTGTACTAGAAATACGTATTGTAAAAAATAGTAATATATCAGTTGACAAGAATTATACTACAATTAGAGATAGCTGGCATGAGTGAAAGTTTGAGGTATATGTTCAATAAAACGACACAGGAGACTCCATAAACACACCCTTTCGCAGTCCCAACAGCAATCTTCATTCGTATATCCCATGTCAAGGGGCTAACAGGTCCTACGTCACCATGCAGCCACTGTTCCAATGTTCCATTGTCAACATATTCATAAACAAGCATCCTGAATGAATAGTCAGCAAAAGTGTCATATTCACAAGTTTCTTCATTTGAAAGACCTTCAAAGAAATAATTAAAGTCACATGCTTAAACATATTTTACCTTTGAGCACCTTCTGCACAATATCCAACTAACCCCACCAAATTCTTGTGCCTCACTTTTCCAATGGCTTCAACCTCCACCTTAAACTCTTTCTCTGCCTGCCCCCTTTGTTACAATACAATAACACATGAGTTTCAATAAGCCATTGCAGGATGGTGAGGAAGAAAGAGTATTGAAAACATTCCGTGATTTCAGCAAAGTTGCTGTGGTAAAACAACCTTCGCATATTTTCCTCTAGTCTAGAGTTCTACAATGCTACTTAATTTATTGCAGCGAGTTCCAATGTCATGCAAATGTGTAGCTGCCGTTTTGGTTAGATTTAGATCTCTTCAATATAGAGTGACATTGAAAACGAACACAAATAAGATCCAATAATTATATCTGACAACAATTGTGTTTTTCACTTTCTAACGTGATTATCGCACTTTACTTGGAAAAAAAAAATTAGAGAGAGAAGATCCAAGTTCATTTTTGTATAGAGTAATATGAAGCTATTAATTAATACTACCATCAGTCTCTCGCTGGCCCACCTAATTCACAGCAACTGACACGTTTGTTTAAACTTTAAACTAAAGTATTATCCAGATTAAGCTAAATTAACATGCCTAGAAAAGAAAAGGTTGAGATACAGAAATCACGAACAATATAATAATAAATAAATAAACAAAAAAGCAAAAGTAGACAAAGAAAAAGGTAAAATACTAAAATAACATCACCCAGAGGCCCCCCAAAGAAAAAAGCAAAGAAGAAGAGCACATTGACCATCCACTCACGTTAGTCCTTAATACTCCCCAAAACAAGTAACAACTCATAATTATAAATTCGAGACGATCCTTGTCGGAGACTAAAAAGCTACTCATTGTTTACGCCAGTTCTAATCTAATCGATATTCAGATTCTAATTTCTTGATATATTAAGATTTATTTAAGGAATTTCTGTCTATAGTTATGTTTAGAAACACATGTGAAATTCCTGTTCCACAATTCACGTGTAGGATCCCAGAACAGAAAACAGTTTCTCTTAGCTGCTTTTTATTTGCATTATATACAAACCAATATAAGAAAACTACACAGCAACGTGAGAAAAAAATGAAAAAGAAACAGAAAAACGTAGAGAGAAATGCATACTTGTTGTTGAGAAGATTTTTGACCGCGACGACAGAACCGTCGAGCAAATTTCCTCTATACACAATCCCATACCCTCCTTCTCCGATCACATTCCCTTCGGCGAACCCTTGCGTCGCAGCCTCAAGCTCACTGAGGCTATACCAGCGTCCCCACCCTATGTTCGGTGACTCCACCGACGGACTATCTTCAAGCTTCATCTCCTCCTTCTTCGGATCCTCCTCATCCGCCTCTTCGATTTTCAGTTCCAGAGTATTCACTTCCAGGATCTCCTTCGATACCAGCGGGATCGCGCCGGAGCTGTGCTTCACTCGCATTTTCCGCTTCTTCGAGCTCCGGCGGAAGCAGAGGAGGATCAGGAGCACTGCTGCCACCACCATTATAACTAGAATGAGGATCAGGGCGTAGAGTTTGAGACCGAGAAAGGGGGTTCGGTGAGTTAGATCCGTCAACACACCGCCGGAGGCGGTGGCGGATGCCGCCATTGCTGATATTTATTTGGAGCGAGAATGGAATGGAGTGAAAACGAGAGAATGTAGTGTTGACAGCGTTTGGTTGTTGCTGTTGTGGAAACTGTGATGCAGTGAAGTGGTTGCTTCAGAATTGAAAAAAATGATATGAACGAAAGAAGAAAAGAAGAAAAAGAAAAGAAGCGAGAATATTGGGAAAAGTGTGAAGTTTCAACTTTCATCAACGGATACAAAAGCTAAAGCAAAGCAAGACAGAACCGGGATTGTAGTTATTGCTTTTTGGGTCCGATTGGGACTCTATTTACATAAATGCCACTCGCGCACGCTCCCTTAACTTCCCCATTCACGTCATCACCGTGGGGACTCCAATGTAATTACAACTCAAGTACATGATGAATTGGTATAAATAATAATAATGAAATATGTTTTTATTTTTTAAATCTTGAACGAAAGTAAAAATTTATTGTTTTAAAATTTTAATATATTTTGCTTATTAAATTTAAAAAATAAATTGATATAATTTTATGTCTTAAATAAGACTTTAGAACGATATTTTATCAATAACATGTTAAACTGTGTTAATAATTTTAATCTTAGCTTGAAATACTGTTTAACAATTCACATGATTAGATTTGAAAAAAAAATGTATTTATTCATTTATAAAATTTAAAAATTAAATTATATCAAAATTTAAAATAAAATAAAAAATTAATTTTATATTAGAAATTAAAAATACATTTAATCTAAACACTAATAATAAAAAATAATTAATTTAAGATATTACTTTTACAATATTAGTGATCAAATATCGTAGGCAAGATAATTTAAATATTTATTTTCAATAATGTAATATGTTTTCTAAAAATAAAATTATGACAAAATTGTAGTCTTTAAAATAGATAATATCTGGAATAATATATAGTAACTAACTTGTAATATTTTGAGAAGAAAATAGGGTTTGGTTTGCTTTGAATTGGAGCGAATGGTGGAAGTTGAAACAGAATTATCCATTGTGATTTGATGAAAAGGACTAGGGTTGATCTTATATATGTAGATGACAAATTGACTCGTAAACGTGATTATCCAACGTAACTCACCACCAAACCATTTCTTTCAATATGCCATTTTCATTCTCTTTTCATACTTCCCATTTACTTTCACCAACTCAACTAGCTCCACCTACAGTAACTAACTTCCAATGCCCTACACATGCAACTCAAATATCTCCCATACATTGCTAAATAACTTATTCATACCACAATCACTTTTATAAAAACGAGCTTTTTAATCTTTTTATATTAATAGACGTATTTCTTATAAATATTATGTATACGATGATGGAGAAGTTATTGAGCGCGTGTCCAAATAATTAAGGAATGTGGAAGTACGTGAAAAAATTAGTTGTCGTGAGCTATCAGTTCATAGATATTAAATGTGTCGGTATGAATTGCATTCCCTCTACTTCAACCCTATTTTCAAAATAATTCAAATCATATATGGTTGTTAACCATCGTATCAACAATTAATTAACAGTAAATTATTATTAAAAACATAGTTAGTATCATTAATGTATCTCTTATGGTTAAGAAAATAAACTGAAATTAATTTGTTCAAAAATATATTAAGTACATTTTGATCAAAATTTACAATGAAAAATTTACCCAATTAGAAAAGAAAGTTATTCACTTCCTTGTTTTATTTATCCCCTTATTTCCACTTTTGGTCTATAACATAACTCTTACTATTAAATTTATTATATTTTAATTGTTTGTTTTTTTCTTAAGTGTGTGATTAATGCCGTAATTCTAGCTATTTCGACTAGATCTATATGAATCACAATTGTGTGATTTCAACCGTAAAATTCTTTGTCACGTTTACTTAAAACATGTTTAATAGAACTAAGGTATAAAACCTTGATTCCTGGAGAATCTCATTAGTATAACTATAACATAAAAAGACTATTCTTAATCGTGATTAGAAGATCAAATTTACAACTGAAATTCAAGATCATGAAATTATAATCCATGTTTTCGTGTCTTGATATAATAATTAGATATAAGATAAATGTCAAAGTGATAACTAAATTTAAATGTATGTTAAAACTTTAATTATATATTTAGATATGTATAAGATGTAGATGCATTAGTTTTAAAATTTATTAGATAATAATATTTGCTTTTACGCTGAAAGGTGAAAATAGTATTTGGGCGGTGTAGATAGTGATTAGATTTTTTTGGACTTTTCTTTTGAACAGTAACAAAAAAAAACTGAAATAGGGGTGAGATTACTAAGTATGGGAGGGTGAAATAGAAATCTGAAAACTTCTCTTTCTTGATCGAAACAACCATAACCTTAAGAATACGAAAACATCCAAACATTGATTTTCAAAAACAAACATATTCTACTTTCGAAAGCCTAAAACAAAGTCAAGTATAAGCTGTTTTCTTTTTCATTCTTTGAAATTTGATGGTGTCTCCTTTTTCTTTTCCAGAATAAAAACAAATATGATCTGAATGAAGATATCCTAAGACATTAAAATTTACATTCCATGAGAGAAAGGGTAAAAAAATCAATTACAGGTGAAAAAATGGTGCTTGTTTCAGTCAGAAACAAGGCAAGTCAAAGAAGAATCCATATCTATACCACAGCGCTTGGCCTTCTTCTTCCTCTCTGTATCTCTATCTCTCCACTCCATCACTTTTGTTGTATCGAAAACCACTGAAAACAAAAGAAAAATCACCCCTTTCAGAGCTTTCATCATCTGCTTTCTCTCATTACCAAAAGAATTAAATTTACGACCAAACTCTCTGTTATTCCAGCTCCAACCTCTCTACATCATCAACCCCTGATGGCTCTGGGAATATCTCCTTCGAGTGTCGTCTCCGCGACAACGAAATCTCACCGCCGCCATTGTGGAAACTACCCTGCGACTGCGACCGCGACCCGGTGGTTCCTGACAGTTTCAAACTACCAGCTCTTTCTAGTTTTACACCTGAGGCTGCTGGAGTTGCCGCTACATCAGAAGAACTCTGACGCCAACTCCCAAACAAAGTAGCAGCGTTCCAAGAACCTCTGGAAGAGGTTGCTCTGAGCCGCATAGAACTGGAATTTTCTTCCCTCACCACCTTCAAAGGGTTTTCCAAAGCCTTCAGAATATATCTCATTGGGGGTCTCCTTGAAGGTTTGGGGTTTAAGCAAGACCTGGCAACAATGGCTATAGCCCACACTTCCTCTAGGAAATCTTCGTCGACGACCATCGATGGATCGATAATTTTCGTCACGAGCTCCTTCTCATACATATTAATGCAAGGCAGAATCTGATCAAACCATTCCTTTACTTCGGCTTCACTGGCTGCACTCATTCCCAACCTACCGGTCACCAGTTCGAGTAAAACTTTTCCCAAGCAATAAACGTCATAGGCACAAATTGTTGTTGAATAACCTGTTTCACGGTAAATCAAATCCATGTCAAAACTATGCATTTATCTGTATTCATACAAAGCTAGAGCCAAAAAAGAGGATTATATACTTCACAATAAGCACATACAATAAACCACATGATCAAATTATCCATCACAGTTTGTGAAAGACAACCACAAACCACTCGGAGTTCTACTGAGCTTTTCGTGTGAATAAACAGAAGAACATCTCAGCACAATATATTGACCACTTAACTACTTCAGAGTGAATAGAATCTCATAATTCTAGATAATCAGAAGGATTTCCAACTGCCTTACTGAAAATGAATTTTGCTGGCACAAAACTATCACGGATAAATGGTAATGCCAAAACATTTTCTTTTTCAACTTAGATGTCCACAGTGATAGTTTTGTAGGATTGAATTTGGCTTAAAGTTCAGTTCTTAATAGGTATGAGTGAAGAAACATACAATCAAGGACAGAACAGATCACGAAACTAAACCAAAAATTAAAATTGAGTTTCTACTTACCAGATGGGCCTTGGTCTGAGGACCTGCACATTTAAAAAGAAAATTAGAAAAAAATATAACAAATAATATAGATTTGTAATTTGTAATAAGGAATACAAAACTTGTTCAAAAATCATAACTCAACCAAATCATGAATTAATGACATAGTGGAAGAATTTGCGAGAGAACGAACAGGATAAAGGACTTCTTAGTTGCAGAGACCAAAAATGACAACTTTCAGTTTGGAGCAGTCATTAATGAAAACCAAAAATGACAACTTTAAGTGACATTTCTTATTTAAAAACACCCACATTAAAAATGACATGATAACCGGTCTGAAATAGATAAGCAATCCAAAAGCAAAAGTTTCAACGTGTAAGCATTTTTCAACAAACAGCCAAAAGGATCAAGTCAAAAAGAAGAATGATACTGTCTATGCATAATTGATTGACCTGTCAGACATTTTTCATGAGATTCATTGAATACGTTGTTGGTTGAGTACTTACTGAGGCAACCGCAGAAACCGGGTGATCTTACTTTGATGAATGTCACCTTCTTGAGCACAGGCTTCACTTAGACTCCCCAACCGAACTTCGTATTTGTCGTCAAGAAGTATACTGCTTGCTTGAATATCCCTACAATATATAGAAGATAGACATGTCACTTCTACCATAACATTTAAACTTTAGATTGAACTTTGAGAGGAAAACTTGTGACAAAACTCATCCTATGCATGCAGTGTTGAAATGCCCAATCAAATACAGGGAATGCACCCCCAAGTGAGACTTTCTCCCAACCTCTATTTTACAGCTCCATTAGATGGAAAATGCATAGTAACATTTAATAATGAAAAAGTCCAGACTCAAGGGAAACTTATATTCAATCACCTAAAAGATATAAAATCAAATGCCAAAACTTATGACAGCAACCTCAAATTCAATGACCAAAACTCAAGGGAAATTTATTTCAAAGAGTATGGATCCATATAAATTATAAAGAGGATCAGTTCAAAAGGTTGAACTCTTAAAAAAGATGCATCCAAGGATGAAGTGGGGATGAGCAGTTGAGTGTTAATGAAATTAGGCACTTCATCAGGCTCCAGAATCCAATGGATTGTTAAAGCAATCAATAGGGAAATAGAAATAAAATTCAAGAAGGAATGCTGGAAATACCTGTGAACAATGGGAGGCACACATTCATGATGTAGATACGACAGGGCCTCTGCGGCTCCAGTAGCAATTTTCAACCTGGTTATCCAGTCCAGTGATTGCAAAGTACCATCTTCGGATGTAGTGTTTTTGTAGTACAAGCAATT